TACATGAATAATAAGTGTTGTTTTGAGTTAAAAGGCAAAATGAAACAGTCCAGAATTATATGAATAAAATAAACCCCAACTAAAGTTATTTATTATGTACTGAAATAGAAAACATTCATGGTGGAATTGTGTTTATTTCTTTTCCCACACAAACTTTTTTATTTCCTCAATGGCCTGTGATTGTTGGGGCTGTCCAAATGAGTTGTTTCATGGTAGAAAATATTAACATGCAGACGTATGTTTTTATAATCCTTCTGGTAATTTGCAAAAGTTATTGTTTCGACTTCCTTTCTTTCGTAGGACATTGTAACGAGGATCACAGGTTTCTCTTTGTCTGCAAAACAAAAATAACAAAACATTTAAATACATACAAAAAAAAGAAAGTATAAAAGAAATGTATTTAGGAAGTAAAATGTGTTCCACGTAGGAAGACAATCTGATGACCGTTTTATATAATTTAACTTTTTAACTCCTAGAGGACTTGTCACTGCACTTTGTCTGAATTTGCATAACTGTAGTTTTTTATCTTTTTTATTCATATCTCTTCCTGTTTCTTGTTCGTTGTTGATCTACTGGCTGCACCAGAATTGTAGATTCAGTGCTCAATATTTCTTTGTACAAAATCCCTGACTTCCTTGACTTTCTATTGGCTTCTTAGGTTCATTCAGTATAAATTTATCTAAAAATACATACAAAAAAACCTTGAACCTTAGTTGTGCCACATGACCAAAAACACAGTCACACCTACACGGATGTGCACATTGTCTCATGTTAGATTTTGTTCTTTTGATGTAGACTATAAACACAAGAAGAGTACAGAAATCAACAAAATACTCTATTTAAAGCATGGGTGTCCAAACTATGGCCCAGGGGCCAAATATGGCTCTCTGGCCATTTTTTGCTATAGCCTTCCTGCCTTCTGCCAAATTGGCCCAAATTCTCATAGCAGAACTTTAAGTAATTTTAGCACTTTTACCTTAATCGCATCAAATTGTTCTGTGATACAGACTTAAGGTTGCCTTTCAAAGCCTTATTAAAGGTACAGGGGCTCTATCAAAACTGTAAAATGCTCCTCAATAAAAGTCTGTGGCCTTCCATTTCAAATATCAATGAAAAAAGTTTGAATGCCCCTGATTTAAACTCAAACTAAAACAAAGTTTTTAGCACATTTGTATTGTAGTTGTACCTGGGACTTTGTCCATGGCTGCTTTCACGTCTGAAGCAGGACGATTAGGGACTGAACAAAAGAGAAGGATGAAGTCACAGTCTTCTACTTTGTTGATGGGATCAACTTTGATTCTCTCAATAATTCTCTTATCATTATCATATATTTCCCCTTCAACTATAAGGAAGACTTTTGGTGATGCATTTTCTGAAAGAGAAAAGGACAAATTGTTAAGACCTGAGACAAATTCAAAAGATTATTAGGCTATGATTCTTCAGTTAAATATTAAAACTTGAATATAATGAAAAAACCGTGTTAGGAAAGCAACAAACAAATCGAGACTCAACAGTATCATTTCATAAAAAGATCCATTTCAAGCTTGGCATTTTCTCTCTCTTCTCTCTCTCTCTCTCTATATATTATATATAATTATATATATATATATATATATATATATATATATATATATATATATATATATATATATAGAGAGAGAGAGAGAGAGAGAGAGAGATAGATAGATATAATATAGATATAATTAATGCACATATATATGTGCATTAATTACAGTTACATATATGATTTATGGATTTTACTTGGAGTTGAAAAACCTACCTTTACTGCTATTCAAACAAGATTGACTTTGGCCATCAGTGTCATTACTGCAAGATTGCAGAGAGCTCCCAGTTTGACAACAGTTCCAAGTTTGCCAAAAGCACAAAGACTGAAAACAGCCCATAGTGTTTCGTCCGTCTCCGTCTCTCACTGCACCTGTGTGATCAGTGTCTCTCACAGTTAAATCCTGCTCCCTCCCTCCTCAGTCTGTCCTGAAGTGCCACTTACAGCAGTCTGTGGTTTGATGCAGGAAGTAGGTTCTTTTGGACTGGTCCTTTCTTGTCTCTGAACATATTTGTTTTCTGTACGGTCTGCGCACGGCTTCCAGTCAGACTTTTGTTTCGTCGCGTTAAGGTGGAAGGTAAGTCTCACTTTTAACTATTTGCTGTCACTGTAAAAACTCACGACTGGCTCTAACATGAAGAACACACTTGTTTTTACTGTTTCAGCTCTTTCTTGAATTGCTGCTATGGGCATTGTACAAAGCTTGTGTAAGATATTGTGCATAAATTCTCAAATCATTTATAGTTTAAATAATCTGATCACATTAATTGTGCTTGTGTGTTTTATGATGTTTCTGTAGTTCACACACCACCTCCACCTCCACCTCCACCTCCACCACCACCATGGAGAGAGATAAAATGGGGGTGAGCATTCCTATAAACGCACTTATTTTTAATATACTATATATCCATCACAAATACTCAGAGTATCATGAAAAAATTAAATATCATTTTTAGAAAGTCAAACCTGTACTATATAGACTCATGACACAGAGTGAAATATTTTATTATTTATAGTTTATTTATTTTTGAATTTTTATGATTGTGGCAGATTGTTACAGATGATGAAAAAAAACAAAAGTCAGTGTCTTTGAAAATTAGAATATTACATAAGATCAATAAAAAATGTATATTTGAAACAGAAATGTCAGGTTTTTGAAAAGTGTTCATTTTTCTGCTCTCAGTACTTGGTCGGGTCTTTTGCCTGGATCAGTGCGTCAGTGCGTCAGTGCACGTGGCCTGGAGGAGATCCTCCTGTGGCTCTGCTCAGGTCAAATAGAAGCCCAGGCTGTTTCGACAGTGACATCGAATTCCCAGTTTAGATGATTGTGATATCATTTATCAAAACTCCACAACTTCAATCCTCCAACTCAGTGTTTATCTCGAACAGTCTGTGCAGGTTTATTCTCCGCTGTCTCTTCAGAACTCTCCACTGTCATGTTCCATCTGTCCTGCTCACTCTGTTCTCCCGACATCAACTTCACTGTTTATTATTTATCTTAGAATTTATTCATCTCAGTGATCCCAAATATCAGCAAACAGATTTAATTCCATTCAGATCCTCTTATCGTTTATGTCACACAGATCAGATATTTTTTGTTGTCCCAAGAGTCAAAAAACAAATAGGAAAACACTCCTACATCTTCTGTATGTTTCATGTCTGTGTGTAGTGGCTCTTGAAGCTCTGACTCCAGACTCAGTTCACTCCTTATGAAGCTCCCACAAATTCTTTAGTGAATTTTGCTTGAGAATCATCTCAAAGCTGAAACACAGAATTTGTGTTATTTATTATCTGTGAACCGCAAAAAACTATTTCAAGAAATAAACACTTGAAATATTTCACTCTGTGTCATGAGTTTATATAATATATGAGTTTGACTTTCTGAAATGAGGGATAAAAAAATATTGAACTTTTTCATGTTATTCTAATTCTTTGAGATGGACTATTACTTTCCACAGAAAAATAAACTAATATTAATGAATCACTGTTCTCAACAGGAGAGAAGAGAATCTGGAATATGTGAAAACATATAAACCGACAAATGCAGACGTGTCGAAACTGCGAATCATGATTTATGGACCAGTCGGGGCAGGAAAGTCCAGCTTTATCAACTCCATTCACACAGCTGTTTGTGGAAGACCATCCAACATTGTTACTCCAAGCTCCAAAACTCAAGATCTGTTGAGCTTCACAACCAGAGTAAGTGTGGCAAAAATGTATCAGTCCTGATGAGTTTTAAAACTGTTGATTTAAGCTTCAGATGAAGAGTCTGTAGTGAGTCGAGCTCCTGCACCACCAGACTAAATCTGACAGAGACGCCATGTTGGCACTGGTGGATTATGAATGGCACTGAGTCGCTTTTGGAGTTTTTTGTCTTTAAATTAAATTGTAGACAATAATTTATCTTAAAACTAATCAGATAATAAACACAAGTAATTGATAATTGACCTCACCTCACCTGGCACAAGTGTGATTTATAGTATATGATTCTTGAGTCGGGACAAAACAGGTTTTGAAAGGTTTTTTTCAAGCGTTGTATTTTTTGAGGAAATCTGAGGGTTGAGAATAAAAACATTTTTTACACAAAATGTCATATTTCCCGATACACCTCAATTGTTGTCAACTCCATCAGACACACTAAAACACATCAAATTAGATTATAAGTTAAATTTTAGTTGGATATATGTCGTAATAAGTCTTTTTCACCATTATGTCCAATTAAAGTACATCTGAAAACAGAAACTGTAGTTTTACTCTTAATATCTTATTTTCAAAATAATGCTTCTTATATTAGAAAATACATTTTTGTAAATAATGCACACACATTAGTTACATATATTAATATCTTTAAAATTTAAACTGCATGAAGTGAAACTGCATGAAATTCAAGTTTCTTTCAAATTTGACAAAAACACCCAATAAATGTACAGATCTGACAGAGTTGACAAAAACTGAGTTGATGAAATGAAATGTGTGAACACTGCTGAAAACTGAACAAATATGTTTTAATCTGCATGTCAACAGATGCTACAGATTTAACACTGACCAGAGTGCACAACACAGACAATTATTTCACTTCCACTTCACTCCAAACTCTGTAGAAGAACATCCACTCTCCTCGTCCTCGACCATCTGTCTCGAGTCTGCAGCCACATTTTATCCTCCTCTATCTCTCCTCTGCTCCTCCAATGTTTCTATCCCCTCCTTCTCTCTCTCTTCTGCCCCTCCATGAGTTTTTAATTGATATCAATGATTTTACATGTTTTACTTTGCATTAGAACCTTTGAAACTTTAGTTTTACAACATGGTTAGGCTACAGCAGGTTCATAATTAAAGTGAAATCTGACAATGTAGCATCCCAGTTGAAATGATGGTCTCATATACTGATGGTTCACAACTTTTATTTTTGGGCCTTTTTTTGTGAACACACCGTAAGAGCTTTAAAAAAAAAATGAAATAAAAACTATTAGCTCTTACAGTGTAGCTTTTTCTCCTTTTAACCATTTACCCATTTATGACAATCTCTAAACTGACAATCTGATCAACAAGTACTGTTTACAATAACAAATCTCATAAAGTCTGATTTTTTTAAATCCATGTTGAACAAGAAATTACACATTAAAATAAATTTGTCAAACTGTGCATAACATTGCTTAAGAAAAAGCGCACACTGGCGCCATCTAGTGGACAAAAATTATAACACATTGGCACTAAACTAGAGCGGCTCAACGTACAAACAAAACATTTCCAAAAGCAAAGTAATTCCAATATGATTCATGACTAACCTTGTTCCCACATCGACCAGGTGCTAAGCGGGATGGACCATAGATTAAATAATTCAATTTTCAGTGACTTTTAGATTAAACAAACAAAACTTTCCGTTGTGCTAATTGTCAGTTAGCCGCAGAGCTGTTAGACGGGAGGTAAACATCCGCTCTCTCATGGCCGCTTCCTGTTGTACAACGGCCTTTCAAAATAAAAGCATGAACTATAATTTTGGAACAGATGCATTACAATGCTTATAAACAAAAGTAGCAGAAGTGCAGAAAATACATGAGATCATTTACAGACAATACGATTTCAAAAGATGAAAATGTAATAATCTATTGAATGGCACATTTTTAAAAAAAAACCGGACATCAAACATTTAATGTTTGATGTTGGTCAGTTTATCAACTCCGTCAGCATAAAATGTCAACTCTGTCACACATTTAACTCATCATTATAAATTATATATTATTCAGGCTGTATTTACATACATAATACGCCAACTTAAACTGTGAAATGACAATTTTTAATCTAATTTTATTTTCTTATCACATTTAGAGGGTACAGGTTTGTCATCGTCATCGTCAACTCTGTCAGACATGACGAATGACGGAATTGACAAAACTGCAAGTTTTTCCCTTTTTAAACACATATGGTACATTTACTTTTTGTAACTTTTATGTTAGCTGCCTTTATGGACTCACTCCAGTTCTGTTTAAATCAATGGATCAGAATGGAGAGACAGAGTTGACACTTTCCAGCTGTGATGACAGTTTCAACACTGTTGGTCTTAAATATCCAAAGATGTAAGAAGTGGCCAGGCTGTGTGTGACAGTGTTGTGTTCAGTGGACTAAGGAACTCTGGAACGGGTTCCAGAGTGGAGAAATCTGAGAACGTCGGCGTTGCGTTGTCATGTGGACAAACAAACTGCAGCTTTTGGAAAAAGGGTCCTCAAAGCAGTGAAGGCTCTAGCCCTCAAACTGACATGCTGCTAACGCTAATGCTAACAACACGCACCACACAGATTATGCACACGGATCAATAACAAAAATTACACATGGGTAATTAAACTGTTGGATTTTGAGACCAAGTTATTCTGACAAGTCTCATCCAAATCTTAAGGCTAATAAATTAAAACTTATGTTTAAATTTTTCAAAATAAAATGGCGATATTTCTGAGATACATCTAAAATCGGGTTAGGGTTATTACCTTAAAGTAAAAAAAAAAAAACTGTGATGAGATTTGCACTGTTAAATATTATTGTCATTGTTAACACCTCTCCTTGAACCATCATCTTATCGTGGTGGAGGGGTTTGAGTGCCCGAACAATCCTGGGAGCTATGTTGTCAGGGGCTTCATGCCCCTGGTAGGGTCACCCTAGGCAAACAGGTCCTGGAGGACGGGTCAGACGAAGAATGGTTCAGACGCCCCCGTGACGAGTTCAACACAGAGGTCTGCTATGGACCGGCATCACCGGGGCCCCACCCTGGAGCCAGGCCTGGTGCGGTGGGTGCTCGCCAGCAGTCTGGGGCCTGGTGGCCGGGCCTTCCCCCACGGGGCCCGGCTACGAGGCTCAGCCCAAAGGAGCGACGTGTGGCTGCCCTTCCGTGGGCCAACCACCCGCGGGAGGAGCCATATGGGGCCGGTGCAAGTAGATCTGGGCAGCAGTCGAAGACGGGGACCTTGACGACCGGATCTCTGGACATGGAGACTGGCGCTGGGGACACTGAATGTCACCTCACTGGGGGGAAAGGAGCCTGAGCTTGTGTGGGAGGTTGAGCATTAGTGACTAGATATAGTCAACCTCACCTCCACGCACAGTTTGGGCTCTGGAACCCAACTCCTTGAGAGGCGCTGGACTCTCTATTTCTCTGGCGTTGGTCGCTGTGTGTTGGAGTTCACCCTGGTGAACGAGAGGGTCTCGTCCCTGCGCCTTCAGGTCGGGGACAGGTCTCTCACTGTGGTGTCGACCTACGGGCCGAACAGCAGTGCAGAGTACTCGGCCTTCTTGGAGTCCCTGGGAGGGGTACTAGACAGTGCACTGACCAGAGACTCTGTTGTTCTACTGGCTTGCTCTACTTCAACGCCCACGTGGACAACACCAGTGACACTTGGAGAGGGGTGATTGGGAGGAACGGCCTCCCTGATCTGAACCCGAGCGGTGTTTTGTTATTGGACTTCTGTGCTAGTCACAGTTTGTCCATAACAAACACCATGTTCGAGCACAAGGGTGTCCATAAGTGCACGTGGCACCAGGACACCCTAGACCGGAGGTCGATGATCGACTTTGTAGTCGTGTCATCTGACCTCCGGCCGCGTTTCTTGGACACTCGGGTGAAGAGAGGGGCTGAGCTGTCAACTGATCACCACCTGGTTGTGAGTTGGATTCGCTGGCGGAGGAGGAAGCCGGAAAGACCTGGCAGGCCCAAGCGTGTAGTGAGGGTCTGTTGGGAACGTCTGGCGGAGCCTCTGTCAGAGGGACTTTCAACTCGCACCTCTGGAAGGACTTCTCCGGGATTCCGGGGGAGGCTGGAGATATGGAGTCTGAGTGGGCTTCGTTCTCGGCCTCTATTGTCAATGCGGCTGCTCGGAGCTGTGGGCGTAAGGTCTGTGGTGCCTGTCGCGGCGGCAACCCCAGAACCCGGTGGTGGACACCGGAAGTAAGGGATGCTGTCAAGCTGAAGAAGGAGTCCTATCAGGTCTTGTTGGCTCGTGGGACTCCTGAGGCAGCTGACGGGTACCGGCGGGCCAAGCGTGCTGCAGCCCGTGTGGTCGCAGGCACAAAAACTTGGAGCTGGGAGGAGTTCGGGGAGGCCATGGAGGAGGACTATCGGACGGCCTCAAAGAGATTCTGGCAAACCGTCTGGCGCCTCAGGGGGAAGCAGTTCTTCACCAACACTGTTTACAGTGCGGGGGGAGAACTCTTGACCTCAACTGGGGATGTTATTGGACAGTGCAAGGAATACTTTGAGGATCTCCTCAATCCCACCGTCACATCTTCCAAGGAGGAAGCCGAGCCTGGGGACTCGGAGGCGGACTCATCCATCACCCTGGCTGAAGTCACTGTGGTGGTTAAAGCTCCTTGGTGGCAAGGCTCCTGGGGTGGATGAGATCCGTCCTGAGTATCTTAAATTTCTGGATGTTGTGGGTCTTGGTTGACACGCCTTTTCAACATCGCGTGGCGGTCGGGGACAGTACCTCTGGACTGGCAAACCGGGGTGGTGGTCCCTCTGTATAAGAAGGGGGACCGGAGGTTGTCTTCCAACTATAGGGGAATCACACTCCTCAGCCTTCCCGGTAAGGTCTATGCCAGGGACTGGAGAGGAGAATCTGGCCGATAGTCGAACCTCGGATCCAGGAGGAGCAGTGTGGTTTTCGTCCTGGCCGTGGAACACTGGACCAGCTCTACACTCTCCATCGGGTGCTCGA